AGTGTATTCCCCAAGTATTAAGGTAAAGGGACAGGGAAGAATATACAGCTTTGCTTCTGCCTCACAGCATGAAGTGCACATTGCATAAGAACATGCTAATGGAGAGCATAGGGCAGCAAAGGGACTGCTGTTCCTTGTCTCTCCCTCCCTTTTCACCCAGAGACCTGGGTCATTGACCCACGCCGTGCCCCACTGCCTACACTTGCGAGTGATTCGGCAGGAAACAAAAGGCCTTTTAGTGTACATGCTACGGATTTGAGTTGAGTCCCCTTTGTCTCTTATTAGATCAAATATAAACTGCCTCAGCTTCTATTTGAAAAGCTTTTTCCATTCTCCTCCTCATCTTTCATTCACCACTGAGATATCAAATGCTAGCTGTTAAATTTTCAAGCGAGCCCCTTGGTACTTTCTCTCATGTTGCCTCTCTAACTTAAATGAGCTCTTTGTAGTTCTCCGTCATGATGCCTGTAAGAACAGTTCATAGCTAACAAGTGGCTGGTGTGTGGGTACCACACAGTTGCATATATATCATGTGGTAGCAAATACAGTTGCATTGATGTCTTATGCTTTTTTATGTACCTCTTTTGGGTCCTGTTATGTATTTCAGCTCAAATCTCCTTGGAGTAAAGGCCATGTGAAGTCATGCCCTGGACAGTTGTCATAAGCCCAGAAAGACAGCTAAGAAGACACTGAACATTTTTTATGATGATTCTGCCATGCTTAATCCATTGTGTTTACGAATCATGTTTATATGATAATCCATTGTGCCTCTGAATCATATTTACATGATAACAAAGACAGTTGCTGAAATATTAATGAAGTACATCTATACTTAATGTATCTCAAGATCTATATTTAACAGCTGCTGCCGCAACTAACCAAAGGGGTTGTTTAAGCTGAATTACACAACACAGAGTCACTGAGGTTGGAAGAAGGGTCTGCTGGAGCAGTTTGCCCGGGACCATGTCTGTTCAGGTTTTGAGTATCTTCATAGCTGGAGAATACAACCTCTCTGGGCAACCTAATCCAGTGCTTGGCCACCACTTAATATCCACATTTAATGGCAAAAAGGAACATCCAAAGAACTATAGGCCAGGCAGCCTGACCTCCATTCCCAAGAAGGGATGTTCCATCCCTCCAAGGGATGCTTTATCACTTCCAGGCAACTAATCCTGGAAACCATTTCCAGACACAGGAAGGACATGAAGATACTGGGGAGCAATACACATGGATTTATGACTTAGCTCTTAAACAGAGTGAGCAAGGTCAGAAACATCACAGAAGTGTTAAGAAAGCTTCCTTTTGTATTTAATATAATTTGGAGGTCAACAAATCAAGTGTCAGTTCAATGGCACCTCATTAAATATTTTTTTTCCTGTATGGAAAGGAAAAACATGGTTAGACAGCCTAATAAGCTTTAAAACATTTGGATGGTCTTGAAATAGTGATAATACCTTGTCCTTTCTTAGGAAACAAGAACAAGCATGAAGTAGGTCTACCCATAATTAAAAATCAGCACCTTTATATTTATCTGTTCCACAAGAAGAAAACAAGAGAACAGGGCTTGTAAGGAGATGTGAGCAAGGTTAAAAGTAGGTCTTCAAAGGGGAATGTTATCTCTCCTACTGTGTGGCTCTGCTGAAGGGGATCTTGGAAACCCCTGAATCTTTGTCACTTTAGTTTGCAAAACTGTAGCCAAATGTGTAATTCTTCACTGTCAGAAAATAAGTGAAATGAGCTCTTTACTCTTAAATATTGTCTGCTAGGAAAGGAGTCTCACGGGTAGGTGGCAGGTGCTAGGTACTTTATTTCATTGGCAATGATGAATCACTGCTAAGGGTGAACTAGTATATTCACAATCTTGAGCTGAAGAATTCCTCGCTGGTGTGATTCTTTACAGCAAAACTGGAAGAGACTGGGGTATGGAGAGAGCCTTCCTGGGAAAATGGTAAGCTGGCAAGCAGTGATGGAGACCTAAAGAAGGCTTATTACTCAGTATATCTTCTTCTAGAATCTGATGCAAGGGAGTCCAGGACTACTGCTCAAGACTTTCAGGTAGAGCTCAAGACCCTCAGTTCCCAGTTGTACTCATCCTCAGCCCACCTACATTGTAATGGGGCTAAATTTTGATCTGTTTTAGAGAAAACATTACCTAATATTGTACAGCCAGGGTAGCCGAGTCTATTCCTGGCGACGATGCGTTAAAACCATTAGAGTCATGAAAGCAGAGGAGCCCAGCGCAGGCCTTGAAAGGGAAGAGTTGGAGGCAGTAGGTCAAGGTGGTTCTCAAGTAGGCACAAAGTCCTAGGAGAGTTTAGGAAAGGATGGAAAGCTTGCTTTTCTTAAGTCATCTCTCCGCAACACTTTCTCTGCTTTCTGGTTGTGAGTCACCAGCTCCAGCCAGTGCTGCCAGTAAATAAGTCTTGCTACTTTCCAAACAAACCTTTAACTGCAGCTCTCTGTCTCCATTTCCAAGTAATTCCCCACACACCGTATCTCCAGGGCTGTGTCTGTGGTTGTTTTGTTGCTTTTTGCTCGGTGTTTGTCATGTGCAAAACTGATGACGGAACTGGCTCAAAAGGTAGATAACTAAAGAAAGAAGTGAAGAAAAAGCAGGTGAGGTGTTGCAGCCTGCCAGGGCTGTGGTGCTCCTGCTGTAGGGAGACAAGTTTTTGAGGGGAAGTGGAGATCCTGTGTTCAGTTCTGGGG